GATAATGGTATTGGTTGCCCGTCTTTTCGTTTCGTCGGGTCCAGAATCTGGACCTCTCGGTTCATGGCTTTCGCAAGGCGTTTCATCGTGGTCAGTTCTTCGGTTTTTATCAGTATCTCGACTGACGTTCTCCACGGGAACCAGATAGCTATTGGGTGCATCCCGTGCTTCTTTAAAAGTTTCCTCCATTCTTTCGCAGGGTATGCAGTCCTCGGTTTTACCCTGTCTAGTGTTACCGCAGTGACCTCTGTTGTTTGCGGTGGCCTTGGTTCCCAGAGCATCTTCTTGTCCTTCTGCTCCAGTATTATCTGCTCTGCCGGCACAGTCTCCTCCGGTGAAACCGGAGTCTCGTTGATCACAGTGGTGTCGTTCCTGCGGCCCACCCTGATACTCGTGTTTCGTCCGCCCGCTACCCTGTTCCAAGGTAGCGGGGTCTGTGGGTTTAAAGCCTTGCCGGGTTGGTTGGTAGTAGGTCGTCCAGTTCTGGCAGTAGCCGTGGCGCCTTCATTTCCTTTGGCCGAGGTCGATCTCGAACTCGGCCGGTCCTTCCTTGTGGTAGCGTGTGTCCTAAGCTGATATGTTCCTGCTACCTTATCAAGCTTCTCATGAATTTTGGTTATATCTTGCTGTATCCTGCTAGTGACTACTGTCTTCAGTTCCTTGACGGTGGTGGTTATCCCCATGTAGGCATCGACCAGATCCTTGAACATGGCCTCATTTCGGTCAATCTGTTGCTGTCTCTTGGCTTTCTCGTCCCTCTGCTCTTTTCTTAGGGCATATATCTCGCTCTGTAGGTCAATCAGAGTAATGCCTATCTCCGTCATGGTGAGTGGCTGGACGCGGGCAAGGCCTCGTTTCCTTGCAGGCATGGGTTGACTCTGTTCCTCAGCATTAGCAGGGGAGTGCCACTCCCCTTGTCCGGCACCTGATACCGTTTGCGGGTCTTCACTACCCTCCACCGACATGGTGGCACCTTTCGGTATTGGTTCCGATCGGTGGTCAGGTGGGTCGTTGGTGTGTTTACCATCTCCTGGCTTTGTATTTAGATCGTTTTGTTGTTGAAAAGTCTGTTTGCTTCTAGCATTGCAGTCTTGCTTG